TTGCTAAGTATAAACTTTCATGGATGACTGAAATAGTTTATTGTGTGCTATTTAATATACACAAAACCACTCGTGGTCTTAAATTGTCTTAAAAACAGAAATGTTGGGGGCTAAGAAGCTTATTGATTTCTTCTCTATTTTCTTTTTTTCCTTCCTTTTTTCCCTCCACAATTATATGCTAGGCTAAGCACCAAACCCTGTGGTTAAATAGATGTACAAGTCTTTATCCTTGCATTTAAAAAGTTTGTTTCAATTAGTCAAAAAGAGAGAAACATCAGCAATCACAATGCAATATATATGGTGACTATAGATTACATGAAAGGTATATGCAAGGACTCTGCGAGCACAGAGGACAGACAGGTGATGGTCCCTGTCTAGGTCTCACGGAGTGTGATTGTCAAAATGTGGCCAGGCCGTCTGTAGGGGGAGACAAGGAATAACTTGAAGATATAGGAAAGCACTGTGCTAAAGTTGGAGGTGTGAAATGTTCCCATGTGTTCAGGATGAGATGTTTATTGTAATAGGAATGTGCCTGGCTCCATGGGCATGTGACCTGTGCACACACTTGGTTTAACATTCTGTTCCTATTGCGCCCTTGACCACAACTCCCTCCAGAGATCTGCAAGTCCCTGGCTGTGTACGAGGTCTCCTGTGGGGAGTAGGGAGGGAACTTTCCCATGAGGCCATCCATGAAAACCCTTGTTATTGCCTGTGGTCAAGCCTGAAATCCTGTACATGGGATTTTCACTTAGCAGGTGGGGGAGGTGGTTTCCTTCAGATCCACCACTAATCAGCTATTTGGCCATGGACAAATCACTTCACCTTTTAAAGTTTCAACTCCTGTGTGTACAAAATGATGTAATATCTATTTCATGTATTTTCTGTTTCATTAGTTCAGGTAGCATATACACCATTTTGTCTCATCCCTGGGTGGTTCTTTGGACAGGTGTTCAAGGTATGTGTGTCAGTCACTCAGTTGTGTCTGACTCTTTGCGACTCCATGGACTGTAGCATACCAGACTCCTCTGTCCATGGAATTCTCCAGGCACAAAGGAGGGTTGCCATTTCCTTCTCCAGGGGATCTTCCCAACCCAGGGATCAAACCTGGGTCTCCCACATTGCAGGCAGATTCCTTACCATCTGAGCCACAAGGGAAGCACAGGGGTTCAATATATAATTGATATCATAGCATATATAGTAACTATTACAGTATGTGCAATTGTTAGACTTATCTCAAGATATGTGTCAAGTTTCCAAAGAGTAAAAATCAATCAAATACCCCACAAAGGTATTCAATACAGTTACACCATACTATTTTAAATGGCATGTGTTCTTTTTTAAAATGTTATTTATTTGAAAAATTTTTAATTTATCTACTTATTTTTGGCGGCACTGGGTCTTCATTGTTGTGTGTGGGTTTTCCCTAGTAGCAGTCAATGGGAGGCTTTTCTCTAGTTGTGGTGCACAGACTTCTCATTGTTGTGTCTTCTCTTGTTGTGAAGCACAGGCTCTAGGGTGAATGTGCTCAGTAGTTACATCTTGTGGGCTCCAGAGCGTGGCCTCAGTAGTTGTGATGCATGGGCTTAGTTGTCCTGCAGCATGTGGGATCTTCCCAGAACAAGAATTGAATTCACGTCTTCTGCACTGGCAGGCAGTTTTTAAACCATTGGACCACTAGGGAAGTCCAAATGGTATATATTCTAACAAAAGCAAAGACTGGTTGAAGATAGTCATTATTAAAAAGAAATTGCCTATATCATTTTGAGTATGCCAGTGTGAGGACCCTCACAGAAATTTTCCCCAGAGAAAATTTTACTCAAAAAATCAACCATTTAGAAGCTAATCACCAAAATACAGAAGGAACTCTTACAACTCAGTGAAATATTATTTAATGGTTTAAAAAAAAATGAGCTATCAAGCCATAAAAAGATGGAGGAATCTTAAATAACAGTCAATAGAAATTGCCCAACTTAGATATCAGATTTAGCAGACATCAGAGCAGCTATTATAAATACAAATAACTGAAGAAACTGTGATTAAAAACATAAGGGAAGATATAATATCTCATCAAGCAAACAATATCAATAAGGACAGAAATTATACAAAAAACCAAAGGGACATACTGATTTTGAAAAGTGTAATAGTTGAAATGAAAAATTCACTACATCCACTAAAGGGACTCAGCAATAGGTTTGAAGTGGCTGAGGAAAGAAACAGTGAGCTTGAAGATAAATTAACAAAGTATGTGATCTGAGAAACAGAGAGAAAAACTAATGAAGGAAAATGAAAAGAGCCTCAGAGAAATGGGAGATACTAAAAAACATAAAAATATATGTAAAATGGGAGTACCAGAAGAGGAGAGAAAATAAGGTAGAAAAATATTTTTTTAATATAATGTGTCAAAACTCACCAAATTTGCACAAAAATGTATCTTTAAAATGAAGATAAAATAAAAACATTCAGAGAGAATTCATTCTAGCAGACCCATCATACAAGGAACACTAAAAAGTTCTTCAGACTTAAAACAAGTGAACTCAGAGAGTTTTCAAATCCATATGAAAAACTAAAAGCACCTGTAAATATACTTTTGCAATTTTAAAAGACATTATAAATGTGTGTTTATTCTTCTTTCTTCTCTTGCTTGTTTTAAAATGCAAATGTATAATACTTAGACCCATGATACCTACAGATCACTCTACGTAACAACAGATTACACACTCTTCACATGAGCACATGGAACACTTTCTAGGGCAAGTTGTAGCAAGACCATAAAACAAGCTTAATACACTTAGAAGATTTGCAATCATTCAGAGTATGTTTATCAACTACAACAGCGTGAAATAAGCAGTCAATAATAGGAAGAAATTTGGGATATTAACAAATATATAAATATTAAACAGCACACACTAAATAACCAGTGAAAGAAAAAAGTCACATGGTATTAGACAACACTCTGAGATGAATGAAAAAACACACAGCGTACCTAAACTTACATTTGCAACTCAAGCAGTGCTAACATAGAAATGCATGGATTAAAATAGAAGAATGATCTCAAGGAAAATATTTAATACCCTATAATTTAAGTACGTTCATGTTTTTATTGAATTTTGATTTGTATAAAAGTTTATTTTGCATAATTCAAATCTCAAATCAATGATTTAAACTCTGGTGTTGGATGGCGGCATTAAGAAAAAATTGATAGTGTACCCTGAAGTTATATATAGTTAATATCCAGACGAAAAATGAGATGCAATAGTGTAGAAACTAAAATTGTAGAAGAGGAAAATTATTAGTTATAAGAAAATTACTCTTTCTTTGGTAACAACTAATACATCATCAATACTGTGGTGGTTAGAGACATCTTTAACTCTCAAAGTCTGATTTTACAAATAGATACTTTGAATGTCAGTTCACCAGCATCTCACCAACATTGTTTAGCAAATGACTGATGGATCATGAAAAGAACTTAGGTTGTCCACTCTCCTGTTCTCACAGCCAGTAGTCTTCAAACATTTTCCCTCAGGTTCCATATAAACGAAATTTAAAAAACTATGTATTTCAGTTGCATTTTTTAAAATGGCAACCAAAAATTAAAACAAAACCTTAAAAAAACTTAAGGCCTAAGTTTGAAAACAAAAATAAATATTATGAGATAAAATATGATAAGCATTGTCTATTAGGAATAAATATTTGTTATTTTATAATGGGAGGGGGGATCGAGATGAGGAATACATGTAAATCCATGGCTGATTCATGTCAATGTATGGCAAAAACCACTACAATATTGTAATTAGCCTCCAACTAATAAAAATAAATGGAAAAAAAACTTAATTACTTCATTGATAAAAATCATGTAAATCTTAACCTGTGTACATTTTTTAATTGGAGAAGGAAATGGCAACCCACACCAGTACTCTTGCCTGGAAAATTCCATGGATGGAAGAGCCTGGTAGGCTACAGTTCATGGGGTTGCAAAGAGTCAGACACGACTGAGTGTCTTCACTTCATTTCACTCACATGTTTTAATATTGCAATAATCTGGAATTTGCACACAACAACCCAGTTTCATTTAAAATAATGTTCAGGAAATCCAAAAAAGAAGCAGTATGTATATACACATACAGGTAATTTGCTTTTGTGTACAGTAGAAATTAACAAAATGTTATAAAGCAACTGTACTTCAATAAAAAATTTAAAACCCTGTTTTTTAACAACTCAGAAAAATTAAAATGAAATGACAAATTTTATCATATTACTTCAACTTTTCTCAATTCAGAGGGTCCAGTAGGGGCTCAAATACCCTATGTTTAATGCCAAGCTTCACCCTAGCCAGAAATATGTGCATAACAGGAAAAGACAAAGTTTAAGGAGTTTTGATTAATACTTAGAGGAGTCTAGTGTTTGCCCTTGCTAGGGGCCTTGAGATTACTATACACCAGGTGCATTATATGCTGAGATTTGTAATGATTGACAGGTAAAAACTCTTTCATAAATTGGAGAAGAATCCTTGTGGGTGTTTCTTTTTAAATGCTGAGTTAAAGCAGAGGATCTGGAAATTGATTCCAACACACATACACTTGGATCTGTTTTGATGGAGCTCAACAAAGGACTGACTGAGGCATCAACGTGGCCTTGAAATGAAGCTTACTCATTTGGGTCATATAATTTGGGGAAATGTACTTAGAGGTACTAACACACCTAAGAAAGACGGGCTTAGTAATTGGTTATCAAACTGTTTAAATATATCGATGCATTTTTATTATTTTGTTTTACTAGACTTATCAGTATAGGAAATGAAAGAGTAAGACAAGCTATCACTAAACAAGGTTTCTGAAAAATCATATTTGGAAGAGTTTTGGAGATTGAATTAAAGTTGAAAATAAACTTGGAGCAAAACACTTTGATTTTATGCTAAACAAAAATGTCTCACAAAATTTATCACTTCCTTTGTTCCAAATACTGTTGGACTTTATTCACAAAGTTTAATCCATCCACCTAAATTACCCCATGGTCTAACTATTAATAGTATAAAAACAAAAGTTCTAAAATAATGTTCTAAAATACTCCCCTCTAACCTTTTAATATATTGTGCTGAGACCTCCTACACCTGTAATAATTTCTTCATTTCTCTGCATAATCATCATGAAAAGAATCCAGTGAACATTGGTATGAGACGGTGTGGGCTCAATCTGTGTAGGATTCCAAGGTCGCAGGGCTTTGGAGCAGACCCTTGGTCCCCTGTTGGTCAAAGAGTTAAAAACCTGAAGTCAACTAAAAGTTCATCCTTCAGTTTAGAGCAAACACTTCTTCTTCACAAAATCTGTTACTAGTGTAAGTTTTTAACTCCCCAAAAGATCACTAAAAACACTTTTGCCCAAGAAAATCAAGGTTGTTAAATATATTCCAATTAGATAAAATACGAGGGTGGAGGCTTAATAGTGTCTCTTAAGAAAAAGGAGGTCAAAGAGAATATTTACAGGGTTCTGAGACCTGGGTCAGTGGTTTTTAAGAGAGGTCTTGAAAGGCTTAGAGCTAGTTACATAAGGTATTCTATTAAAAACTGGTCCAAAAAAGCCATTTTGCATCTCTAAAAGGATATGATGTTGGTTTGGGTTTTTTTCCCCCTGTTTTTGGTTTTGTGTATGTCCCACCTTGACTGAGAAAGGGTTTAATGTGATTGTCATGAGAATGAAAAGTTACATTACAGATAACACAAAAGGAAAATGAAAGTAAAATACAGAATTTGTGACATAGAGGAAGTCCAGGAGCAAATTCACACACAAACCATGCACCGCATAGTCCTGTATGATCACCAAGAATGAAATGAAAGTCACTCTCTTGTGACCCCATGGATTATACAGTTCATGGAATTCTCCAGGCCAGAATACTGGAGGGGGTAGCCGTTCCCTTCTCCAGGGCATCTTCCCAACCCAGGGATCGAACCCAGGTCTCCAACATTGCAGGCAGATTCTTTACCAGCTGGGTACATATTTTATTCTATGCTGCCTGGCATCTGATTTGAGGAGAGAAAGTTTGTTCCATTTCAAATTGTGTAATAATATAATATCCAAAATATAAAAATCACATTTTGAAAGAAGGTCTGAAAATAAAAAACCATATAGAATGCAAAGCAGAAATTGCTCAGCAAAATAAAAGAATTACAAGGCACTTATTAAGGAAAAGGCAAGCACATTACTTCTGCTTTGATTGCCAGCAAGTTGCTTTGACAATAATGAGGCATTTATTTAATAAATATTTACCTTACACTCTTCTAAATATGTTAGGAAAAATAGTTTAATCATCCAAATGATTGTTTGATGAAAGTGGTATTAAAATATATCAGTATAATAACCTTCATCTTGGGTGTGTAACAGTGAGATGAAGAATTGCACTGTCATAGCCTTAACTGGCTGTGACAATCAGGGCTCCATCCAAGAAGCAGAACCGCTGTGAATGACAGAGAACAAGGGATTGATCATAGGGATTCAGCCCATTGAATCATAGGAGCTGGGACAGCAGTCTCTGTAGGGCTGTTGCCTCTGTTTCTGGTGCTGGATCTGAAGTCAGCAGGATCCGTGATTAGAAACAAAGATAGATTTGAAATGAAGGAAACAAACATCAGCAGGGAATGCATGTTTCAGCTCCAATCCTAGTGACTTGCAGGGGGAGTTGGCATCTCTTTCAGGTTGCACCCTTGCTTGACCCAGGAGCAGAAGCTGTCTGAGGACACTGGACACGGCTGGGGGAGCTGCCCAGTGCAGACAAGCTGGGGTCACAGATGCACATACACAACGTACAGAACAACCACAACTCCACTCTGCAATGAACTGCAGGTTGTAACCAGATGCAGACAAGAGGGAGAGGTTTAGCAATGCAGTTGAGGCAGCCACATGGATTCAGCATAGAGCACAGCAGGGCTTGGATGTGAACCCTAAAAATCTGGTTCCTATAGTGTTAACAATTCCTAACACCTCTCTCTCAGTGTTGAATTGTGAAGATCCATTTGGATGTATCCAGAGCAAGGTCTGGAAGGCATTCTAGGTAAATGAAACTATATGTAGAAATTCAAGGTAGAATGCAGCAGGTGACAAAGACCTCTTAGTAATCCAATTTTGCTTGAATGTATTACAAATGAGGGAAAATACAGGAGATAAGAGGAGAGGATGATAGAGTTCAGATCCCATCTTCGAGATAACAACAAGTGTTTATTATCCTAAATATTGCCTTTATTTCCGCAAATAGGTTCCAAGCAGAAGCTGCAGCCACATTTAGTGTTATTTTTTTCTTATGGAATATTGTATCCAAAGTCCTTCATCTTCAGGAAATCAGTACCAATTCTACCGGCTCTCAAGAGGCTATTGATTTCCTCGCAAGTGAGCGAAACTTCAGCATTACAGAGTTTGTCAAGGAGAATGGCTTTTATCTCAACAGCAGCACATTGTTAGAATGTAAATTTTTTGGAAAGCCATGTGGCCCAGAGGTAATGTTGCAATATTTCTTCAAATTTCATCAATATAACAAGCTACTTCTTTGTATCATTTTGCATTGAGGTAAAGGTTACTCCCATGGGGAATCAGTTTAAATTTGCTCCAAGATCACATGTCCTTAGCTCAGCCTTATGGTATCAAGAGGTGTGAATACACATGGGACGTTCCTCCTTTTTCATACAGTTAGATAAGCAAAGATAGAGGACAGAAACCTTTGGTGATATTTCTTGCAGGATTGTCCTTAAAGGGAAACCCCTATCTGTGGTTCCAAGTCCCAGCTGAGGATTCCACCAACCACAGGTTGAGCTGTGCTGTGGTGGGTATTTATTTTAAAACAATGAGTCTATGCAATTCAAATCCCTGTTGTTCAAGAGTCAACTGCAAATGAAAATGTCTCAACTAGATAATCAGATACAAATTGGCAAGTGCATTTTACAAAAAAAAATGAAAACTGCTTTTGGAATACAGACTAAAATCGCCAGATTTCTATTCTTCCTGCTGTTTTTGCCTTCTCACTCAGCACTATGATAAAGAAAAGAAAGTTATAGGCATTTAAACTTTGAAAGGACCAAAATACTCACCTGATTGTGTTTTCTTTGGTTTATTTTCATATTGGAGGATTTTGCACATGTCTTCACTGAATATGGAAACTGTTTTACCTTTAATCATGGTGAAACTATCCAAGCAAAGGAAAAAGTGAGTGTTTCTGGAAGAGGCTTACACTTGCTCTTCAATGTCAAACAGGTATTGAATTTCTTCAAACTTCACCAGGGTTTAAGGCAAACAAGAATGCACAGGAGTTTCAGGACACTGTGCCCTGTTGAATCGTTCCCACATTATTTGTTTGTTTGTTTGTTTTTAACTAATTTAGTCAAGACTTCCACCATGAAACTACAGACTTGAAGATTGAAAAGGCACAGTTTAGAGGAATAACCTGGACATTTTTAGCTATATTACTTACTGTCATTTTTATGTCACAAAACAAGGAAACTAAAGATTTCTAAATCTCAATGTATATAGTAATTTAAGAAGACCTATGAAATTTTAATGTTCAGATAATGTTTAGATTTTCATGAAAATAGGCAATATGTTTTAGAAAGAAGCCATACAGAAATATTTGACAAACCATAGAAATCTATAGTCTGAAAGGTGATGAAAAATATTGCTATGCAAAAATATTGTATCAGCAGACTTTGCCTAAGCCAGTTTTGTAAATCTGTAATTGATATAAGTAGATTCTAAGTGTTTAGACCTAGGTGGCAGCTGTCCAGGCTCCTAAGAAATTCAGAGGTGTTCCTTCAAGACTACCTAGTATAACTCTCACCCAAGGCTAATCCTCACCCTCTGTCTTGCACAATCATTTGTAGTGTTACACAGAGGTATTCTACTCTGTTGTTATGATTTTGTAAATGAAGAATAGCATTTTGAAATGCTATTGAATGAAGTATTCAGAATCACACAATTAATGGCAGAGATGAGAAATAAAGGTAGCATCCCTGAATTTCACCAAACTACTTCCCAATCCAAGTGAACAAGGCGATTGGTTACTTTTCAGGAATTTCTCCTAACTCACGTTTCATGGTTTCCCCTGTATTCCATTCAAGAGTCCACAGCACTGCACACTGCGATACACACAGCCAGGCTTGTATATCTAGTTCATTAATAGTTTCAGGTTATTTAAATATAAGCCATATGTTCACTTCAAATATTGTATAATAGCTTTTACAAGCTAGAATTTCTCCCAGTGTTTTTAGAGTGCAATTAAAATCTGCAAATTCAGTGCAAAGTTCAATAAGTAAATAGAGCTGAGATATTTCTCCAGACTAACAGTTAAGTGTTCCTTAGAGAGTTACAGAGAGGCTAGGAGAAATAGGGTCCTGAGCATCAAACGCAAGACCATTTGTTTATTGTTGTTACCTGTGCAGTTAACCCATTCACAAGAAAAACCATCCTAGTCCCTCATCAAGGCCACCCCTTCTCCTTATAGCCTGAAATTATAACTAATAAAGTCACCAGAAGTTTGATCTTAAATTTCATGTGCCTCTTTGACAAACTGGCTGCTTCGGGTCCTGCCTTTTGGAAGTGGAACTGCGTCTGGTGCTCATGTCTGCACTGCTGGAGTTCCCTCCAGCTGTGCTCACTGCTGTGGGTTGGTGAAACAGACTCACTCTGACCCCTCCCTGGGAGTGTGCTCTTCCTGCCTCAGAGTCACAGGAATAAATACAGCATGCCTCTAAAGGCCCTTTCTGATCCTGATCATGAAGAGCCACTGGCTTCTCAGGAAAAAAAAAAGAGAAATTTCTGATAAATCAGAAATTTGGTTTTGTGATAATATATGAAAGTCAACCAAGAAACTCAACCAATAAAGCAAAGCTTGAGCTCCTGAAATGTATGCTTTTACATAATGAACAATTATATATATATATATATATATATATATATTTGTTTTCTTGCAAAAACAATTCTTTATCTGACACAAGATTTACAAAAGAAAAGCACTAGTGCTAAAGAAGTAGTGTAAGTCTTCACTTTTAGGAGAAAATAAATTTGAATTTTAAGTCAGGCCGAATATTTTAATTGCAAAGAGAAGCAGAGGGCCAAAGGATTTTCTGAGACAAATAAGTAAAGAGAATAGCCAAGGAGAAAGAAACTAAAAAGGCAGATGAGGAGAGGGCCAGGGGAACCAGGTGGCTGACAGTCAGGATACGTTCCATAGGTCTACTCAAATTGCCTCAGGCAAGAGGTGACCCAGAGAAAATGGCCCAGGCCTTGATGTGTAGTTTAACCATGAAAAGTAGGTATTTAGGTGTTTAATTTTCACAGCTTTTATGTAAAAAGAGATCTTGTATTGATATGAAGTATTTGATTTTTAAGTTATTCAAGTGCTATCATGAAATGATAAAAATCAGTCTTAAACTCTGCACAAAATTCTGCACAAACTCATCTTGTGCATAATTGACATCAATTCCTAATCTGGAAATAAATACTTGTTTATTTCAGGAGGAATTTACAGATGACCCAACCCTTGGCTTTGTCGACGCTGGGATCACCTTTGTTATCCATTCACCCATGAAGGTGCCGCAGTTTGATGGTTTGGGCTTGTCCTCACCAGTGGGAATGCATACACGGGTGACCATCCGCCAGGTGAAGGTAAATATCAAATAAAGACATACATATAATCACAAAATTCAGAATCTGAGGGAACTCTGACCTCCGGCTGTTTGGAGGAATGCAAAACTTGGCACATCAAGAAGCAGGGCAGATGTCTGCCTTTCCTTCTTCCTGGTAAACAGAGGCAGTGTCCCTCAGTGGGGTAATGATCCCATAGGTACATAATAACACATTTCACTAGACACTCTTTTCTCTCCTGCATTTCAAACATCACCAGAAATTCAACAGTTTTAGTTCAGATACTTTTCCATTACTGGGAGGCTCAAAAACAGCAAATTCACAGATAAAGTGTGAGTGAGTGCTGGGAAGCCCAGCAAACCCAAGTCAACTTTGAATTTTATTTGAGTTGAAAATGGACATTAAGAAGGAAGTCCATGTGGCTGAACCGTGCTTTTTCTCAACAGGACTTTCTAGGAAGGAAAAAGTCAGTGGGCAGAGCAGTCTTAGAATCCCAGTGTCTGACAGGTTTCCACTTGGCAGCCCCTTGCTCTGTAATTTTCTGGATTAACTTCCTGAATTTCCACCTCCTGAGGGCCAGGGGCTAATACTTCAGGGGCTAATCCTTCCTTTCCCAGTGACTCTGTTGTTCAGTCGCTCAGTCGTGTCTGACTCTTTGTGACCCCATTCACTGCAGCATTCCAGGCTGTCCTTCACCATCTCTTGGAGCTTGCTCAAATTCATGTCCATTGAGTTGGTGATGCCATCCAACCATATCAGCCTCTGATACCATCCAACCATCTTCTCCTGCCCTCAATCTTTTCCAGCATCAGAGTCTTTTCCAATGAGTCAGCTCTTCGCATCAGGTGGCCAAATCACAGTTACTCTGAGGTTTAAGTGAAATAATATAAAGAAAACATTACCATATTCCCTGGCACATAATAGGTACTCAGTAAAGGATCTTTTCTTAATTGAGGTTTAGTTGATTTACAATGTTGTGTTAATTTCTGCTGTAAAGTGATTCAATTATACATATATATCTATATACATTATTTTTTACATTCTTTTCCATTATGATATATCATGGGATATTGAATATAGTTCTCTGTGTTGCACAGTGGGACCTTGTTGTTTATCCATCCTAAATATACTAGTTTGCATCTGCTAATCCCAAGCTCTCAGCCCATTTTCCCCACAACCTTGGCAACCACAAGTGTGTTCTCATGTTTTGATTCTGTTTTAAAGGATCTTTTTGTGTGTGTAATTCTGGTTGCTGTTTTGTGACTGGGTTGATGAATATGCTAAAATATTCAATAAATGATATTTTTTTCCTTGTAGGAGTTCAGTTTTAGAGCACCTTGTCTGATTGTATTGATTCACTACAGGTACAGGCATCACTGACTCAACTGACATGAGTTTGAGCACACTCCAGGAGATGGTGAAGGACAGGGAAGCTTGTCATGCTGCAGTCCATGGGGTTGCAGAGTCAGACACGACCGAAAAATTGAACAACACAGCGCATTTGGGGTGGATATTAAAGGCCAAAGAGTAGACTTAACTTCGGGGGTTTTCAGGTTAATAGAGTAGGCATAGTAGACAAATGTAGTCAGCTAAAGAATATCAAAGGCTTGAGAGAAAAGGAAAGGGATATATTGAGTCAGACAGATCTTCTGACCCAGGTGTTTATTTTGTCTTAAGACAGTCCATCAGGAATACCCGTGGGGAGAATGTAATCCCCACATGAAACTGCAGAACTTCAGGACGTATAGCACCTCTGGCTGCTTGCAGGAATGCAAAGCTTGGCACATCAAGAAGCAGTGCGGATGTCTGCCTTTCCTTCTTCCTGGTAAATAGAGGCTGTGTCCCATTCTGTAACTCTTTACTTAATCTGACACATGGAAATAAATGTATCAGAAAGCTGTTTCACATTCTTAAGAAATTCTATGCTGAAAACCATCCACCTGAGAAATAAACCTCCTAGCAGAGATGTCTGGAAAAGAAAAGAGCCTTGTGTTGTGTGAGCCGGTCCCCAAATCTGATTTCAACATTTTCAATTGGGTGCTCTTAAGCTGCTCATCAAGATTTTCTCAGTTTGAAAGAAACAGTAGATCTTCTTACCAATGCTTAATATTTCTTTATTGAGACCTTTTTGTTGTTGTTAGAAAGACTCTGTAGTCTCCCTTTACATCTGGTCTGAAATGCTTTCAGAACTACAGATGTCTGAGCCAAGCCCTGGACAGGGCATTGGAGCAGGGTGGATGGAGCTGGCCTTGCACTTAACTTCTGCAGCTCCTGAAAAGTAAGGAGCAGCACAGTGTATCCAACCCGCGTGGCCTGACAAGTTATAACAGGGCTGGAGTGAGTATGCAGGTGGTCTCAAAACTGCTTGACACAGAACTCACTCCATGTAACAGCTGGATATTTCTCTTCAGATTTCCTTCACCCCATTCTCCAGTGTATTTATAAAGAAGAGTAGAGTGATTTAAGGGATGAAACCAGTCTGGTCCTACAAGTTTACCAATCCCACACATGATGGCCCATCACACATCACGTGCGCACACACACACAAACACTCACACACACCACACACACACTCACACATGGATATGCTGATGCTGCCCCTATAACAAGGGTTGCAACTTGGCAAACTGCTCAGAAATTTTGAGCATCATAACTTCCTTCTTTCTAGAATTTTTATTTTTAGTCTGTGGCTCCTGCAAAACTGGCATTCTATAAAACTGCTAACTCTGGCTCTGATTCTCATTCCTAATTACAAAAAATTCCAGAGTTACAGGAAAGGGTCTAAATTGATGAGCATTTGGGGTGGATATTAAAGGCCAAAGAGTAGACTTAACTTCGGGGGTTTTCAGGTTAATAGAGTAGGCATAGTAGACAAATGTAGTCAGCTAAAGAATATCAAAGGCTTGAGAGAAAAGGAAAGGGATATATTGAGTCAGACAGATCTTCTGACCCAGGTGTTTATTTTGTCTTAAGACAGTCCATCAGGAATACCCGTGGGGAGAATGTAATCCCCACATGAAACTGCAGAACTTCAGGACGTATAGCACCTCTGGCTGCTTGCAGGAATGCAAAGCTTGGCACATCAAGAAGCAGTGCGGATGTCTGCCTTTCCTTCTTCCTGGTAAATAGAGGCTGTGTCCCATTCTGTAACTCTTTACTTAATCTGACACATGGAAATAAATGTATCAGAAAGCTGTTTCACATTCTTAAGAAATTCTATGCTGAAAACCATCCACCTGAGAAATAAACCTCCTAGCAGAGATGTCTGGAAAAGAAAAGAGCCTTGTGTTGTGTGAGCCGGTCCCCAAATCTGATTTCAACATTTTCAATTGGGTGCTCTTAAGCTGCTCATCAAGATTTTCTCAGTTTGAAAGAAACAGTAGATCTTCTTACCAATGCTTAATATTTCTTTATTGAGACCTTTTTGTTGTTGTTAGAAAGACTCTGTAGTCTCCCTTTACATCTGGTCTGAAATGCTTTCAGAACTACAGATGTCTGAGCCAAGCCCTGGACAGGGCATTGGAGCAGGGTGGATGGAGCTGGCCTTGCACTTAACTTCTGCAGCTCCTGAAAAGTAAGGAGCAGCACAGTGTATCCAACCCGCGTGGCCTGACAAGTTATAACAGGGCTGGAGTGAGTATGCAGGTGGTCTCAAAACTGCTTGACACAGAACTCACTCCATGTAACAGCTGGATATTTCTCTTCAGATTTCCTTCACCCCATTCTCCAGTGTATTTATAAAGAAGAGTAGAGTGATTTAAGGGATGAAACCAGTCTGGTCCTACAAGTTTACCAATCCCACACATGATGGCCCATCACACATCACGTGCGCACACACACACAAACACTCACACACACCACACACACACTCACACATGGATATGCTGATGCTGCCCCTATAACAAGGGTTGCAACTTGGCAAACTGCTCAGAAATTTTGAGCATCATAACTTCCTTCTTTCTAGAATTTTTATTTTTAGTCTGTGGCTCCTGCAAAACTGGCATTCTATAAAACTGCTAACTCTGGCTCTGATTCTCATTCCTAATTACAAAAAATTCCAGAGTTACAGGAAAGGGTCTAAATTGATATATGAAAAATAACATTACAGTTTTAAAATGTATCATTTCTGACAAAACAAAAGAAAAATGAAATAACTAATAAGAACCAGACACTAGGCTAAATGAAATGTAAAACACAAAGCAAGACATTTGCACAAACTTTGGGGTGCTTATAGAAATATATCTTATTTGATTTGATCCTTAGTTATCCCTTTAAGTCTGCTTACAGATGAGGAAACTGAGATTTATACACGTTAAATGAACTAGCTGAAGAACTCCCTCTAGCAAATTGTAAAGGCAATTCTAAAAATCAGCCTTTCAGAAGTGGGTCATTTCCAAAATTTCATCGTTCTTGACGTGTGTATGCTCAGTCGCTTGAGTCATGTCTGACTCTTTGCGACCCTATGGACTGTAGCCTGCCAGGCTCCTCAGACCATGAGATTCTCCAGGCAAGAATACTGGAGTGGGTTGCTGTGCCTTCCTCCAGGGGATCTTCCCCACCCGGGGATTGAACCTGCGTCTCCTGCATCGCAGGCAGACTCTTTACCACTGAGCCACCTGGGAAGCACATTGTTCTTTGGATTAAGAAATATCATTCAAGAAGTAAGCCACAGTGTGGGAAAAGAGACTTCTTGCAGACTCAGTGTTCAAGGTAGAGTTTTCTTTTTCATTTTCACTTCTTCACAAAGCACGCTTCCCCCTTGTCAGCTGAACTTCTCCACAGACTGTAAGTGACACTCTCTCTTGTCTTCAGGACCATTGAATAAACATTGAGCTCACCCTAGAGATACATGGATTATAGCAAGAGGCAAGTGCTGCATTAAGGTGCAAAGACTGAAGTTTTAGAATCAGCCTGGGGTGAAACCCAGCTCTGAATGAGATTGATTTTGTCCCAAGGTTCACAGCAGGTGCTCCACAGAGTGCTACTTCCCTGCCCCATCCTACACTCCCAGTGTGCATTTTCATTGGGTATTGTGTTTTCATACTAGTTTTTGCAAAAGGATAGATGGAGAGTGTTTTTGTCATTATTTCACTCAGTTCATAAAATGAAAAGTCTCTATATTTACCCTTTTTATTTTTAAGGAAATGGGATAGAGTGTGACCTACAAAAGTTTTACAACTGTGTGTCTCCTATACTCGGTAAGTGGCTTAATTTATTTCTCTATTTTCAAGATTTATATGAAAGTTGCCCAGAATCACACAAGACTTTAAATCATACTATAGATAGTTCAGAAATGAAACAAGAGAGACTATAAGAGGTAGTTTTTCAATGTTCTTAAATTTAATAACGATAGTTTACACAGTAAAACACAACGAAGAGCCTTTCTTATTTCACAGTACATCTGAATCAAAGATATGCACTATCCAAGTGACAGTAAGAGGGCTGTGGTTTTTACTTCTAATTTTTTTAAACTGTAAACATTTTTATAATGAAAGTAGCTTTGTTGGTTTTTCTTATTACATACATGAAACACACTTGTTGGGATTAGTTCAAACATCACAGAATAGGAAAGATTCTTCACTTGAAAATTAATAGAAATAGCATCACTTTGAAAATTACTGTCACAATTTAGGTGGCCATTCTTTTCCTCATTCATTTCATTATATGTAACTTATATATAAATGTGTATGGATAGCTTTTACATAAGTGAAATCACAACATACATGACATACATACTGGGGACAACTTCCTCTTAAGCAGCGTTTTTCACTTATTTATCTCTTACCTTAACTCAACCAATGTTAACACTCCAGTATGTTCTACAATAATTCTCTCCACAAATATAGTTTTCTATTTATGATTTTAAATCATTGGTTATTTTATTAAAATGGGATCATACTATATACCCTTCTATGAAACTTGCTTATCTAACCCATTTCAGAAATATCTCCAGGACAACAGGACTAGATTTCAGAGACTCCTTTTAATGGCTGTAAAATATTTCGTGGAATGGGCATGGGTAGAAAAGATCTGATATTTTTAAACAGCTTTACAAGCTGAATATGCAGAAGTCACATTACTAAGTGAGGAGTTAAAGTTAAATTGTCAAATTTCTTGTCATTTTCTATCCCTGAAAAAGGATGAATGTGAAGTTTGGGGAAACATCATTCATGCAGTTACTTCCTGGGGGAGTTTTATGGGAAAATGGGATCAGAAGAGTGCATGGGTGTGTGTATGTGCATGTATGTGTCTGTGCATGTATATGTGTGTGTGTAGGGAATACATGGAGGTTATTGCCAGTCATCTTTCAGAACCAGGGAATGCCTACAAAAGTCATGCTCAGAGGAGTATCAATAGGAGAGTCTAGAAAACAAGCCCAAAGTTTGTCCTTATTCAAGGTCTTGGTGAAAAAAAGTGTTCACAGGAAAGAGTTTCAGTAACAGAACCACAAAGAAAACAAGAAGTGGAACATTTGCTGAAAGCAAAGAGCAGTGAGATGAGCCCAGGCACTGACTGGTCCAAAAATGCCTGTGGGCAAACACCCACAGTGAGTCCTTCCCAAGACTCACTCACATGGGTGGTGTGGTTGCTGAAGAGAAGCCAGAGGATAGGGTGAAAGTGACTGCATCCCCAGACCCGAGGACCTCAGCACCCCACAGCGCATTGCACACCATCTTTATTGAGACAAGCCCAAGAATACATTTGGTTTAAACCTATGTCACTCACTTTCAAGATGATGTTTCTAAGTTCCTCTCAAGGTGACATAAGGTCACAAAAACTTTCCGTCTTTTATCCAAATGTCTAATGTCGTATGAAAATAATCTCAGAGACTTTCTGGTAAAAAAATTCTTACTTCTAACAAAGATATGAATCCAGTGACACCATGAATTCAAGGTTAACCCCTAAGATTTCTATTGTCTTCCTTGCTGTATTTGTACTAAAATGTAAACAGAATATAAATACCACTTGTTAAGGAAGCAGTGATTGAACTTGTTAACCACTGTTTTAAACATAGGGTTTCCCTAAAGGCTCTGACTGTAAAGAATCCACCTTCAAGCAGGAGATGTGGGTTCATTCCCCGGGTCAGAAAGATCCCCTTGAGAAGGAAATGGCAACCCACTCCAGTATTCTTGCACATTGAAAGTGAAATGATAAAATTTTTAAAAGCTCTGTCATCCCCACTGTGAAATAATCTTTTTCTCCAAATATCTTGTCCTAATTTTCATCTCAGACCACATTGAAGTTAAGGGATTGTGTACAGTGGGAACACACAATTCCAGCTGCCCTGTACCTTGTGAAGAAACAGAATACCCTGCGTCCATTTCTTATTCTACTTTTCCGAGCCAAAAAGCTTTGAAATATCTTTCCAAGAAGTTGAATCAAAGCCAGCAATATATCAGGTATTTCTAATTAACATACATATTTTCTTTACTTTCAAAGACTCCAGGAATGAAATTCTGACCAGTCACAGGAAGCAAGGGCTGACAGCAGTGAATCATCAATGAAAGCCTAGAATTTTAAAGGTAGAAAAGAGCTTGTCTTTCAATCCCTTAACTTAATTGAGTGAAAAGTGAAATGAGGACTGAATAATTTGCTTATAATCTTACACTTTTGGCCCAACTGGGGAAGAATGCTAACATGACTGAAAACATGAAAATCTGTTACCTATACATTATAAGTGCTTCCCTGGCAGCTCACTGGTAAAGAATCCGCCTGCAATGTAGAAGATCCCAGTTCAATTCCTGGGTCGGGAAGTTCCCCTGGAGAAGGGATAGGCTACCCACTCCAGTATTCTTGGGCTTCCCTGGTAGTTCAGATGGTAAAGAATCCACCTGCAATGCAGGAGACCAGAGTTTGATCCCTGGGCTGGGAAGATTCCCTGGAGAAGGGAACAACTACACACTCCAGTATTCTTGCTTGGAAAATCCCCATAAACAGAGGAGCCTGGCAGGTTACAGTCCATGGGGTCATAAAGAGTCGGACACGACTGAGCGACTAAGCACAACCACATATATTATAAAGTTTGGGTCTACTAACAACTGTATTAGTTAAAGGGAATACAAATTATCCTCATTTTACAGAGGAGGGGAGTGAAGTTACTGCATTTCAAGTGAACTGTCCTGTGAAGGTCATTAGTGGCACGCAGAGAATTTATGCCCCAAACCTATAACTCTGGTCTCTGTATATTTTCCACAGAGACACATCACTACAATTTTGATGAATTAAAGATTATATTAGGTCTCCTTCTGCCATATCACTCTCCTATCAGAAATAACAACTCAAACTTCATAAAAAATATTTTAAAAATCAGGCAACATCATAACATTTATCTTTGTATTTTATTTATATTTTTAAGCTGAGGACCTGACATATCAATATAGTATGTTTGGTGTTTGTATTTAAGTCTATTATAATAAAATATATTAACTAATTAAAAGCAGATTTACTTTTGCACAGACAAGTATCTGACTTTGAAAGCATATTTCAGGTTTTAAGCTAGTATGTATTTTAATGAAACAAATAAAAAAGCATTCTCCTAGTATAAATTCCTAGACAATACAATGATCTTTCAAATCAGGAAGAAAAAGTCTTTTCATTAAGGTGGGGTTGATAGAATATCACTTTAAATACTTGGATAAAAAGATAGAAAGCTAGTAAATTTGCAGCTATATCTTTGTCAGCACTCCTGTCTCTAGTATAGATGCCTCTATTTCATTTTAATATGGAAAACTGATGTATTTATAATATTGTTCCTATTATACTTAGCTGTGCCTGAGAAGAGCACTTCATGTGATTTTTTGGCTAGAAAAAAATCCCCTGGGCTCCCTGTTTATCATGCAGAGGATGTAGACTTTATTTTAGAGACATATTGGTGAAGTCAGAAAAGAAACTCATTGTTACACAAAATGACTCTAGAGAACACTGTTGCTTTTTCTCCTAAAATTTATATTATTGTAAGTAGCTACCCATTAACCTCATCCTATAACTGACAAATGTGGATCTTGCAGGCTTGTGACTAGCAGAGGCCAGTGCCAGGAGAGCTAAGGCGAGTGGCTGAATACAGCTGGACTCAGGGCTGTCCAAATCCTAGACAGAGCCAGGGGTTAGAAATCACACATATAATTAAAAATTTGCTTTGTGCACAGAGATCAAAAATCGAAGAGTAATTAGTCAGAAAACATGAAGAGTTTGTTGTTTAGTTGCTAAGTTGTGTCCGATTCTTTCGCCACCCCATGAACTGTAGCCCACCAGGCTCCTTTGTTTATGGGATTTCCCAGGCAAGAATACTGGAGTGGGTTGCCATTTCCTTCCTGACCCCAGGGATCGAGCCTGCATCTCCTGCATTGGCAGGTGGATTCTTTACCACTGAGCCACCAGGAAAGACCATACAGTTCATTAGGAAAGCAGATATAAAAGCTTAGCATCAGTAGAACTTAAAGCACTCTTAATTTAATGATGAAGTGTGATGGCGGTGGCAGAAACCAGCCCCAGACTATGACCAGTCTGGAGCCCCAAGTGGCAGTTGCCGGACTCCATCAAGAAGGAGGTGAAAAGATTAGCCTGATTGAAGCAGGCACTATGGAAGTGAATTGTGGCTGAATTTAGGCCAATTTCATTAGCAAAATAATTTTTTTGTGTGTTTAATTGAATGTATTTTCAAGTAAAATTTGTATAAAATGATTTGGTTTATAGAAAAAATTATTCCCCTTAATTAATCCAGCACTAAAACTTAAGCACATGGAAGCATTTTTTAGTGTTTTATAAATGCAATAAACACTATTTTTTCTTTGATCTTCTTACCCTCATTAAAATCCAGATTTTATTTTATAATTGTGCTTCTTGACATAAACAAATATTCTTGGATCTAAATTCTGAAAATTTTTCCTATCACCATGAAATGTAGATTCAACGAGACCCAAATTACCAGCAAGTTACTCACTTTGGAGGAGCTGAGTAAACCTTGCGGTATTTTTATAGGGGTTTAATTTATCTTCTCTCAAAAACGCAAATGGATAATTCTGGAAAATGGCTCTAAGTTTTGTGCTTGGGAACTTAAACAGTATTATCAACTTACATGCAAATTTGGATCACAAAAAGATTGCAATATTGCTAAAATTTCTCAGCTTCCAAAACAACTTCATTATTTCCTTCACTTTGGCTGTTGTTTTATTATTTGCAAATATTATGATACCCCTTCTTAGCTACTTAAACACAGTACATTCCCCTGTTACCCAGGGTTAAGCCAATGGAAATTAAGTAAACATATTAATGATATATTTTGAATTAATTCTATTTGGGAATATTGATTTCTAAATGGTAAACAATAAGGAGAGTGATTTACAACCATGCCTCTCAGATATTAAAAATACCACATAATTCCGGGAATCACTGCTAATAGAACCTATTCTTTTTTCTTTTTTTTTTAACTTTTCATTTTATATTGGACTATAGCTGATTTATAATGCTGTGTTAGTGTCAGATGTACAACCGTTCCAGTTACACATATACATGAATCTATTCTTTTCCAAAATCTTCTCCCATTTACATATTATATTACATAATAGGATCTTTCTTAATGAAACTATTGTTGCACATGAAAACCAACAGGTAGTTGATTTTTACCTCAGTTTATAAGACAGAGAGGTTAACTATTTATATATCTATTAATTCATTGTTTTCTTCTTTGATTTGTTCCCTTATTTGTCCATTTCACAAATTGGAAATGAGTGCCTTTTGTGTGTCAGTATTCCAGAGTGCTCTAAAAACTAGAGATACTTCTGTGCATAAAAGACAAACCCCTGCCTTGCTGCACGCATGCCCTGTGGAGTGAAGAAGGACAATAAATATACGGGGCAACCAGCCACGGTGCGGAGTGCCTGGGAGGGGAAGGGACAGAACAGAAGGAGTCAGTCGGGGAGGGCTGATCTCAGCATGAAGGCCTGAGATCAAATAAGATTGTCCTGGCAGGGTGACAGCTTAGCAAAGACCCAGTGCTTCTCAAACCTGTCAGTGTCAAGGTCCCTTTATAGTCTTCAGAATCACTGAGGAGCCCATTGAGTTCTCCTTCATGTGAGTTTTAAGTATCAACATCTGCCATATTAGGAAAGTAAGGTAAGACTTCTTAAATTTATTGATTCACTTAAAACAACAATAATGAATGTGCTATACAGTAACAGAAGTAAAACTTTTTATAAAGATTAACTATTTTCAAAAAAGTTTAGGAAGAGGAGTGGTACTGTTTTAGGATGTGGTAGGTTTCTTCTCGTTTTTGCAGTTACTCTGTTGGGTTATGTTGTTTGGTTGGAGAACATGAAGGAAACCTCGCATGAGACAGATGTATAGTTCAAAAAGGGAGGCCTGTTTTAATAGCTTTATAGATAATTGTGATATTTTTCTTTGATGATACATCAAAAATCAACAAGACTAGCTTCTTTCACGTTAACCGCAGTATTTGTCTTGTGATTTGCCCAGAGGAACTGAGGTCAACTCTTGACTCAACATTTGATGGCACTGTTGAGATTCATGCTGCCATACATGCATCAAGAAGATATGAAAAATGTACTTATTGTTCACACAATGACAGTTTCTGTGAACAGAAGGGCAGTCTCCCAGGCACAACTTTTCCTGGTTTGTGAGAGAACAAGGAAAGGCATCTGGCTCTGCCTGACCTTGTGGTTTTGGGGTAGGACTTGGACAAACAATCTGAGATGAGGGACAGGGTCTGTGTAATTGAACTTTCCCAGGTGCCAAAGGGGGAAGAGCATGGCTTTCTCATCAGTTTAACTCTTTGAGGACAAGAAAGGGGCGGGGTGGCATCTGAAAGCTGTCACCTCTGAAATGTCAAAACATATCAGTGTATTTTTCATATTCAATTCTATTTATATTCACTGAACTTGCACTTTGAATGGGTCTTTTATTTGTGCATGGTTTGGAACATCATTTATTGGATGTTAGAAAAATTCTTTTAGCTATGCACATTTTCCAAATATCGATCCACTTTATTATATAATACACATTGCAATGTAATATCATTACTTTTCCTACCATAAAAGTCTTTAAAAATTGAGTTATCAAGTTCATCATAGCAGACATAAATTTTCCAAAATTTTAACTTTAGCATAAAAGTTAAAAGCTTAAAATTTATTATTGACCTCAAGTCTTATCAGTTATTCTCCTTGATGCAACAGGCTCATTTTGTTTATTATTGTGAAAATCTCTGCAAAATTTCACAATTTTAAGAACCATAGTTTGTCAGCCATTCTTTCAAGTGAAAATGGTGTTCTGTATCAAAAGTGGGTACTGCAGCTTTCTTGAAATATTCATCATAGTGGAAATGTTAAATAACATGTCAGTATTTTATGAAAATAATTTTGACTTTGTGAACTTCCAAAAAAGATAACAGGGACCCCTAGGAATCTGTGTGGGCTTCCCTGATGGCTCAAGTTGTAAAGAATCCACCTGCAATCCATGAGGTGTGGGTTCCATCCCTGGGTCAGGAAGATCCCCTGGAGGATGGCATGGCAACCTACTCCAGTATTCTGGCCTGGAGATTCCCATGGACAGAGAAGCCTGGCAGGCTACAGTTTATGAGGTTGCAAAGAGTCTGATACACCTAAGCAGGCACACACACTAAGGATCTATGACCACACTTTGAAAATTGCTAGGCTTTAAGGCGATATAAGAGCTGGTCTCAGTATTTATGAGGAAAAGGCACTTTAGGAAGGAAAATCACATGTCAAGAAAAGTCCTAGACTGACAGCACACCTTGTACATGGGTAGAATAGCCTGGAAATTGGTGTGGCAGGAGGCAGAGTAGATGATAGCCAAGGATGGCCAAGAATCGGTCACCATGAACAGGTCAGTGGTAGACAGAAATCTCATAATGCTGCAGAAGGCGAGTCTCTGGGGAGCTCTCAGCAGGAAAGTGATATGATTTACAAGTTGCAGAAGTATTGCTTTGGTTCTTGTGTGAAGAGCAAAGGGTGAGTATCTGTTGAGATGGAGTACACTAAGGTCAGAAGCAGAAGGAGAAACCAGAAAGAGATTGGAAAAATCCAGGTGAGAGATGACGGAGGTTTAGGCAAAGGTGGTCTCAGTGGATGGGTGAGAGGTTGGATTCTGGGTATATTTGAAGGTAAAACAAATACTTACTGATAGATTATCTGTGCAGTGTTATTGCATTAAAAATGAGGAAATAGCTAAAGTTTGACTTGGAATATTCGAAGTATCTGTTGAACATCACGTAGAATACCAAGAGGCAATTTGATGTATTAATGAAGTTCAAGGTGGTGTCTGGGCTGAAGATGGTGAGGGTACATAAGAGTTATTTCAAAATAGTTATTTAGCCACTCTGGCCACATGTAAAGATTTCCAGAAAACACTGAGAAAAGAGTCTCTGCCCAAAATACTAGTGATGTAAGGTAAATGACTACCATTTATTAAAAGTACAATATATGCAGCTTCTGTGCCAGTTCTTTGCATATATTATTTAACTGCTTCTTGCCATAGCACTGAAATCCTGACTAGAGGAGAAGCAACCAAAACTCAGGAAAAGCAGGTGGTTTCTCCAGGACCACATAAGCCACAAAGAACAGAACCCAGATTTGAATTAAAGTTAGACACACACTCAAACATTTGTAAATCATATACTCAGTAGATATTTACATTTAATGTGGGTTTTTTTTTTTTCAGTTTCTCAGGAAGGAAGCACAGAAAAGTTGTTAGGTCAGGAGAAAAATCATTTTCCCCAAATACCAACATGATATGAATGTGCTCAAAATGAAGCTACTGTGATTAGTACTGCACACAATGTCATGTCTAATTCAATACCAAACAACCTCTGAGAAAAAAATAAATACTGCCTTTGTTGAATGGGAATTAAAAGACCATTTGCCAAACCTCTGTCTGTGCCTGTGAGGGCTACCATGTGAGAATAAAGGCTGGAAAGAGAAGAAGTCAGCTAAGACTGTCAAAAAAGGTGGTCAGAACCTCTCCTAACGTGGGGGGAGCCCAGGGCAACAGAGGGCAACGTCAGTTCAGTTCAGTCGCTCAGTTGTGTCCAACTCTTTGCGACCCCGCAACGTGTCTGTTTTGACCCCTGTCCATCACCAACTCCTGGAGTTTACCCAAACTTATGTCCATTGAGTCGGTGATGCCACCCAACCATCTCATCCTCTGTCATCCCCTTCTCCTCCTGCCTTCAATCTTTCCCAGCATCAGGGTCTTTTCAAATGAGTCAGCTCTTCGCATCAAGTGGCAAAAGTATTAGACTTTCAGCTCCAGCATCAGTCCTTCCAATGAACACTCAGGACTAATCTCCTTAAGGATGGACTGGTTGGATCTCCTTGCGGTCCAAGATGCTCAAGAGTCTTCTCCAACACCATAGTTCAAAAGCATCAATTCTTCAGTGCTCAGCTTTCTTTATAACCCAACTCTCACATCCATACATGACTACTGGAAAAACCATAGCCTTGACTAGACAGAACTTTTTGGCAAAGTAATGTCTCTGCTTTTTAACATGCTGTCTAGGTTGAGTCCTTAGACTGCAAGGAGATCCAACCAGTCCATCCTAAGGGAGATCAGTCCTGGGTGTTCATTGGAAGGACTGATGTTGAAGCTGAAACTCCAATACTTTGGCCATCTGAAGCGAAGAGCTGACTCATTTGAGAAGACCCTGATGCTGGGAAAGATTGAAGGCAGGAGGAGAAGG